AAGGATATAATAACTATTACTTATTTCACCGAAAATATCGTAACATAGATTTTGTGATTTTCACTTTTTTTTTAGGAGGGAACAAATGGCAGACAACCACAAAAACTGATCGAATCGTTGTATTGTAGAACAGCGGACAAACAAAGCGGCAGATCTGTTATACGACGGGGCGAAGAATGAAACTCTATAGAGAGGTCCCGTATGCCGAAAGGAGAGCAAACGAGGAACGGAGACTCATAAAAAAGGGTACTATGCAAGACGATCCCATGTCGCGATGACGACGCCCTGGCGCCCTGATCCCCGACACCTTCGAATGCGCCCCATAAAATCTATTCTCAGCTGAAATATCTCGGACAGGCTGCCGCTTGACTTTTTTACCTGCGCGGATCGAAGGGAGACTCGACTCCCGCAGTTGTAACATCGCCGTGCGATAACGTACCGATGCGATTCCGACACCATTACAAACGAGATTCAATTATCGAAATCGTAAATTCGCTTCGATACATCGCGCATCAAAATGTAACACTAATGCAAACCTCACAAAGAGAACATTTCAATATTACGATCTGATAAGTCCGCAGTGTATTTCGCCGGGGGAGATCACGCCGGAGGTAATGTTTCAGTATCGTCTAATGATCCTTAATCATTCTGAAGCCATCTTTGACACACGCGAGATAAATTTAATAGTAACCATTAAACAAGCGAACGGGAATATATCTCAGGCGTGTATATTCTACACTTCAAAGCACGCACGACCCATAGAGAGGCGGGACAGGTCGTTTGGTGAGTCGTCGCGAGAATAAATGATCTCCGCGGGTCGAATCCGAGTTGCGGATGAAGGCGCGCAATCGTTCCCTCTTTGCCTGCCTCACCGGGACTTGAAGCGACTTTACCTAGCGTTCGTTCGCGTGGAGAAATACGTCGAATAATAAGAATGCCATTAAAAAATTAAACGAGGCCCCTATAAATACGCGCCAAGAGAACGGCAAGAATGGCGTCGGGGAAAAGAGCGGAAAGAGGGAGAGAGTGAGAGAGAGAGAGAAAAAAAAACAAAGATTGTGCGAAACGTGCAGAGCAAAGGGAGGCGGAAGAAGGAACGGTTAATTTGTTGTGCATCAGCAGCACCGGCAGCTACGAAGACAAGCTACAGAGAGAGGTACCGGGGCCATACTAAGAAAATAACTAGAGATAATTACGCGCATAAATCAGAGTGTTAATATTCGGGGGCGTAGGTAGGAGGCGCAGGTAGATATATTCGCCTATAGGTAGGCAGGACCCGTGGATATATACGGGAGGAAAAGGAGAAAGGGGACGAGAGGAGAGGAGACAGCGAGAGACGGAGAGGGTAAGAGCGGAATAATGCCAACTTCGGATCGGTAGATCATTCGTGGCCGTTGGATACGCCTCCTTGTTAGCCTGGGTTTACTTAGTCCTTCGACGCTCCTACGACGTGCGTTACGCCCGCTAATAGCCCACCGGTAACGAACTACCGTCGACCTTTTTTGAGGACCTTTTAAGCGAAAACGCGTTTCTCTCCTCTCGCGCTGCCTCTTATCGATCATGGCCGTCATCGCGAGAAAGGATTGCCCCGTGGAGTCGCCTCTGAAAGCGAATTCCTTCCCACGTTTGCCGCGCTGCCCCGACGAAAGGATATACGCCACTTAAAGAGCAGTCCTCAGGGCGATATTCGTAATTTATCGGTCGCAAATGGAAGGACTTGCGCGCTCGGGTAATTCGCTCGGGTAGTCCGGTACGCGCGAATTATTTCCAGCTGTCGTCGTGATTCCCGTGTCCATCGTAATCGCTCGACATTCTCGACAGGTTCGTGTGGTATCGAAATTTTTCACGGCCGATGAGGGTACAACAGTGGCGAAGCGAAACAAAACGGGGAAAGAAAAAAAAAAGGAAGAACGCACAGTGGCGTTGAAACACTCATAACAGGTGGACCGATACTCGGCACGAAGATACATCTTCGAGGTGGGCGGTCCCACACTCCTTAAATCAGCCCGCAGCCACCATAACATTAAGCCCACCTCCTCTCTCACGGCACGTCTCATCTCCCGCCGTTTATTTGTTTGCTTAGAGCGAGTAATTAGAATCCGATACAAATGGTTATTATTTATCGGCATGGAGAGGCGAGCAGAGCCCGACGTAGTGCCTGGTACGAATGCACGGTACCGGACGGACCGGGGTATACCTCCTGATTGCCTGGCGTTATTAAACCGGGAGATACCACGAGATAAATACACGGAGGCCAAACACCGGCCACTATATATATAATGTTGCTGGCGATCCTTACTAACAGCTTTCATTCGCGAGCGACGCAGAACTCAATTATTATAGCAATGTCCTCCGCGAACGCACTATTAATAATTCGTCATGTTTTATAAATATCTAATATCCTTTGATAAAATCAGAAAATGCTCTTTCAACTTTATTCAACTTATTGGTATTTTTTGAATATTTAAAATTGACACTTCGATTTTTAAGGAGATAAAGTAAACGCAAGCTTCACTTTATCTGCATCGCGAGCGCTATCGGCGATAGTTGCAGCTGTCGAAGCATAGAAGCGGGTTCATGGAAATAAAACGTAATGAGGTTCCCGATCGAACAGGGGCCAGCCGCGCGTCACGTCAGACCGATGCACCCGTCCTGCATTTCCGAAGAACACACCGCGCGACTCACAGAGGCGAATCTATCGCGATGCCAGACGCGTCCGTTAATAAAGTATAATGGGCACACAGCGCCTCCCTCCCCCGATGACGACAATGTACACCTGACCTATAGAATACAATGGCCGTCTACATCGTTCGGCCACGAATCACGTAAGCCGAGTGTATGAAACACACCTCTTTAATGGGCTTTGTGTGAAAAAAAAAGAAGATACATGCCGCGCCTATTGTAACCTACAAATCGTGCGGACAACAATGAGAGATGTAGAATGCCGAATAAAAAAAATTCGATCTCTGTTCTTCTTTACTTCAAAGCATAAAAATTCGTAAACAAGTCTCATTGAGTTTCAAATTTTCTCTTCGAGATTACAATTATTTGATCAATTGTTCATTATACCAACAAAATTCTCGCAAATAAAATCGTTAGTGGAATATCGAATAATCGTCCGATTTATTTATTTCAACGAAGGCTCCATGGGGGATGAAGATACGCCGGGGGTAACGTTGATTAGCTCTGCTGTTGATTTAATTACCGGGAGAGTAATTGGCATGCCTACTGACGATCCCTTCCCCTCTCCCTCTCGACACAGACACCCCCTGTCGCTTACTTCGCTCGCTCTCCAGCACCCTATCGCCTCACACCCTCTCCAGCTCAAACTGTTGCATATTCATCGATGATAGATTATTATATGTCTACGTGTCTAAAGACTCGCAGCCAGGAACAATTGATCTTGGACAATATCTACTCGATACACACAACATTTCGTATTAAAAATTTATGTGACCAACGTGACAAGTTGGCGAACGTTCATTTTATGCTGATCAAAATCGACCATAGATCTCCCCGAAAAATTGCCGACGCTCGAGTTTTTTTACCTCTCGCTTTCCAAGTATCGTAAATTGGTTCGTTCGCCTGGTTTATCGTGCGTGTTTCGTAGAGAATATGCGCAAATGAAAAAAAAAACAACCAGAAAAACAAACAACGACAGAGCAGTTCGTTGCCAATTTCCGCGAGTCCGAGACACGTCGTAAAAAGGGCACCGCGAACGGTTAGGTTCGTACGGTAGCGGTTATAGGCGAACGTATATCGCGGCGGTGTTATCCGCAAACACGCGGGTTCGGCCAATTTATCCCAAGGGATGAGGCCGACGTGGCACGGCGGTGGTGGGTGTGGGGCAACCTTGTCCAGCGGAATGAATTCAGCACGCAGCCCCTGTGCGGTCGAGCCGCCTCTCTACCCCTTTCACCGACCATCTCCAACCACCGTGCAACGTCCCCACCTTTTGACCATTTCACCCTCTCGTCCGTCCCTTCCGCTTTCTCGTTCACCCGATAGCGTGCGCGCGCGCGCGTGTTAAGGTCGCTTCAGAATGTCCAGATAGAGAAACGATAGAAATAATAATAAAAGAAATAATGTACCTATGAGTTTTAGTACAGAATTACTAAAATGAATCACTAAAGCTTAATTTTCGACCAATTCTTAAAAATATTATTTTGCAAAATTTTTTCGATATATTAGAAGATAGCAATAAATTATTATTAATGTATATCGAATCGAATTTTTTCGGATACTTCTTAGACTACTTTAATTTTAGTACCTCCACTGAAGGAGTAGAATTCTGTGCTATATTCATGGCGGTCGAGCCATTTGACAGGCGACGATTTATAATCGATACAAGTGGTGTGAATAGCCCTTAACCTGCTACCATCCGCCACTCCTGATCCGCTCCACATATCGCTAGCGTGGTATACAACGGCCGCCTGATTGCCACGGGGGCTCTTAGATTTATTGACCTGTCAATGGCGGCGCGCGAAAACGGCGAATTTACAACGCCGCAGGTGTTAAGTTCTGCCGTGCGTGTAATAACGGCCTGATCCCCAGGCCTACGGTAAGCCACACCGTAATTATATTTCCGAACCTCCCGCTCGCTACCTTTGTCATTATCACCCGAGGTGGCGTAGCCGTAATTCAATGAGATCCATCGCGCGATCGCGCGTGTATATGTGAACGATAAAGGTCCGATAAACGACGTCCGAATCTAGGAAATTTTAGCATGCAACACGGCTGCCACTATGTGTATGTCTGTGTACGCGCGAATCATATATTCTTTATACACGATGTTCCGAAATGGTCGCATTTATTTTCTGCCTGCTATAAAGTTCCAAACCCGCGAGGCAGGATAATGCAAATTTCGAAAAGGAGGGCAAGATAATTTGGGAACATTCGTACAAATACAGCAATGTGATTTGCGCGAAACGCTCACGAAATAATTTACAATTTGTAAATCTCGCGCGCGTAACAGAATAAAATGATATAGTTGATCCTACCTTGAGCCTGGTGAGACGAGGTTCCTCGGCTGCGAGTTTCGCCAGCGCCTGGTAGTCCCCCTGCGCCGCCCTGACCAGCCACTCCCGCGATTTTCCATCCAGTTGCTTCGGGAAAGCATCGATCGTGGCGATTATTAGCGATTAATGGGTGCGAGGGATCGCCGGGATCGATCAGCAGCACGCGGAAGATCGAGCGGGCCTGTTCGATCGAGAGCGGGCGAATTTTAATTAAGATCCCCGGCCACGATCTGGCGTGCATTTATCAGGGACCGGCGATGCACGTCCGACCAGGGAAGAGAATTACGGCCCGTGCTGCGTCGCTCTCGTCGGATTGGCGTGCGCAATAATCGCGATCTGCGGTGGGTGATGAACTTACCGAGGCAACGGAAGCGCTGTCATCCTCGTCGGCGCCCTGCGGAGAAAAGAAGAGAGAAAGGAGGGGGGGTTAGAGTTGATCCCTTCGAAAAATCAACATTACGCGCCACGTCACGCGGACGCTCGCGGGGCACGCAGCCGCAAGTCGCGGCGAAAACCGGTCCGCTGTATATGGCGTTGGCGTTGGTGCAGAGAGAGAAAGAGAGAGAGAGTGCACTCTCGCTATACCGCGTGCGTGCCACGATGGCGAGCGCACGAAGCGGCATGGGGACGACAGGGGGAAGAAAATGCGTGAGCGCAGCGGGAGGCCACCGAGCACGGGACGCGCGCTTCGGCCATCAGATTGATATACGGATCCAATAATTGATTCTCCGGCGCAAGGCCTTGGGAGGCTGGCTGGGCCGCACGCACTTACGCAACCCCCGGCCGTCGCCCGTCGTCCGAGAACAGACGTCCCATTTCGGAAACTGCCGTCCCCCGGACGCACGGCAAACGAACGAAAGATCCACGATCGCGATTATCGATGGAGCGTAAAAGCACTTAAGATACTTTCGATAAAATTCTTGTCGCGGTGCCTCGTATCGCTAACAAAATTCTGCTTTTAACAGAAAATCCACGCGCTATATGATTACGTAATTTTATTTGTACGCATTTTCATATTCATATTCTGTGCCGCGCGATAAATCTTAATCTTAATAATATATCCTTAACAGATCTTGATAATATCTTTAAATCACACATACAAACACGTGAATAAACGCTTGAACGAGAAACTCGTCGTTTAATCGCGCTTATACGGCGCCGATCGCTGCGCAGTGTTCCACGTTATACTTACGACGGTGTATGCACGTGGTACGGTAGGATGACGCGACGAAGGAGGTGGCGCAGGGAGGAGGGAGGAGGTGAGGGTTCTCTCCTGATCCCAGGAACGCTAAACGACTACTCATCCCTGTTAAACTGTTTGTATTTTCACTCGTCACGGCCAACGTCGGTTGTTCGAGGTGCTCATATCGACACTCGACCCCGAATCGATCGTGACTCTTCATAAATTACTTCCACGGGCCGATCGGGACGCGGGAGATGCGCGTTTGCACTTTGGCCGAGTCATCATTAGCCGGCCGCGATATATCTTTATCCATCGACAACATCGCGCGTGTCCTTAAGTGAAATCACGATTCGAAGGACACGCGTCGATAGAAGAGCGAGACGTATGTCTGGCATTCCAACATTAATCCAATTCCCACCCTTGTCAGAAAGGAGAATATTCGTCGAGTCGCGCGAGAAGATTTCGATTTCGGAGACCATCTTCCGGAAATTCCATTGCCTCGGAAATCAGTCTCGGGATGATAACCACTGACCCCCCGTCGCGTCAGGTGGTGCATCGAGGTGCGTTCCCAGCTTTCGTGCACTACGTGTGCTCTCGCAAACACGTCTGTACGCGTGCGAATGCACAGATGCATGCTGATAGGATGGACTTTGTTATATGCATGTATCACAGAGGCCATGCTTCATCGGCGATACAACAATTGTACTTGCGATAAAAAGACATTACTGCTTGGCGGCGGTAAACGGATGAATTAATTTTTAATTTAATCCTTTCAGTTGCAAGACGCAGCTGTCTTATTATTAATAATAAAGTACACCTAAATAAAGTACACTTTCTCTTATCTCTCTTTCTTTAAATAGGGACACTTGGTAAAAGAATACATAAATATTCCCGATTATTAGATCAGTATATAAGAATATGTAATAATCCAAATCTCTCAAAAAATTCTTCCCCATGTACGTGACGAGATGAATATGCAAATTATCGCAAAATTATGCAAGCAACGAAGGACGAGAGAACTCGTCGGCATTTTACCGAGAGCCAGAGATTTCGAAGAGAGAAACTTGGAAGCGAACTCGAGAAAATTTTCGACCTCCATATTGAGAATCACGGACACTCGCCATATCGTATATAGTATGATATCCGCTGTTCACGTCGCGTGCATCGCTGATTGATTTTTAAGCGATCGCGCGATACAACCCGACCGATTTTCGATGAGATTCGGAGGCAGGGGACACTTGTTCGCTCGTATCTCGGACCTGGAGATATGTAAATATTCTCATCCTCTCACGGCGCGAGGTCTCCACGAGAACGATCAGGACAAACGGACCAGTCAGCGACGGCACAGTCACAATGTGCCATGAGCCATAACAGCGTGGTTATCAGATAAGCTTATAAGACCCGGGTAATCGTAATAGCATCGCAATGGCGGTTTCTCCGGCTCCATCGCGGTCGATGAACGGAGGTGGGGAAGCGACGGTTAAACGATGAACGAAGACGAGAGGAGAAACGAGTCGCCGGGGCCCTCTTTTCCCCATCGGCGAGTCATTGTTCCATCGTAATTAATATTTTAATTGAGATCAGCGGGAATTAATTAACGCAACAGGCCTGTTAAGGTCGTTCGCCTGAACCGATCAATCGCGATCGTGACGCACTTGTCAGGATCAAGATTTAATTCGTCTTCTTATTCGTAATATCTCTATCAGACGTGCAAGATGTTATAAGCTTGATAAAGATATAATTCGCAAAAAGGAAATAATCGTGAGTAAATTGATTACCGGCAGCAAATGTTATTTCAAGAAGCAAGCAAGGATCCATTAATTCGCCCGTCATGAATATTAACAAATCTATATACTTAAAACTATCTTCGATGGCAATTCGAATAGCTAAATATCCTATTGTAATAGCGGACACACGCAGATGGACACGCTCGTATATCGCATTCGTAATCGGATAAAAAGCTAACGACGCGACGCATACAAGCCGCATAATCAGTTAGGATGTGATCCTAGCACGAGCGAGCGGCGAACCGAGTATCATAGAAATGGATACAAAGGGGCCATCAGCAGCCACGGTAACGAGCCAGCCGACCTACCCACCCCATCGTATCCCCCATTGTTATCGCTCTTCGTGGCGCATCAGCGCCGACTCAAAAACACGCTCTCCCGGCAGTTAAGCCGTGCACATTCGCGCGTCTAATTCCGCGAATGTGGCCAGCGGCAGGTACTCAACTACTCAGCAGGCATGCACGTGCTTACTCGTGCCCTCTTGTCTCTTTCTCTCCCTGTCTCTCTTTACGCTTTCCGCGTCTCTCCCACGTCTCGAACAATAAAAGGAATACGCGGTGTAAAGCAGATAGCGAACGCGCGCTTGCTCTCTTCAGGGTGGAAACGTTTTAATAAGCAGACGTGCGCTGGCCTCTCCGAGGGGGCGTATAAATATATTCGGTTGCTCTATAGCGAAAGCGTACTCTCGCACTGCGAAAGAGTGAGAGACGTGATATGGGGAGACTGCGAAAGGGGGGACGGGGTGGTGCACCGGGGGCGGATATATCGGTGAGACGACCAAGGGTAGAGCGGGGAACGGCAGGCGTGGTAGAACGAGAGGCAAAACATGTTGCGGCACGAGCTGCCTCGAGAGCTCCGCGGAATTAGCTTTATTATAACCTGGGGGCCATCCATACATGCCTAACAGCGCACGAACATTCGCCGGCCAATAAGCCAAATGCTAACCAAACATTTTCGCGACTCGGCGCACCCTACAATTCATCCCTCCCTCGCGCCCCTCTGTAGCGCCGAGAGGTCCAGCAAGGAGGATCGATTAAAGCGAGATGTGTATATTTAACGTGACTATCAGTTACGACGACGTGAGCATCGCGATGATTTGCTACGTTTAATGTTTCGTGATTTAATTTTGGACAAACGAGGCATATCGTTGTATACGCGAAAAAGAAATTCTATTCTTTTGTCTCAATCGCATTAACGGAGCTTAATGAAAATTAAACGCACGGTTTATCAATCGTGATTTCGCTTGAAGCCCACGCTGGGCTAACGCAAAATGCATCGAAGAATTAGGCGCATCTTTACTGCGACCGCAGGAAAGTCCATCTATCCAGTCTCTAACGACTCTCCCTCCCTCAGGAGAAACTTTTCTGGCCGCGGCAGCGCCGTGAAACGATTAGGCCCGGATTAGTCGTGCGCGCGAGATCGATTATGCGATCCTGCGGATAACATTGGCCTGATTTATTCCCCTAATGGGCGTTCGCGCATTCATTTCGAGGCCGTGCGAGGCAATTCCACGGGGCTTCGTCGGATGGCGGTGCCCGTCCTGCCGCTGACAGGAAAACTCTCGCTGGGTGATTCAGCGTTCGGTTCGGCGACGCCTCCCAACGACCACCATAATGCCTACCTATCTCGGGTACCCACCTACCTAACGCCATTTCCATCGTCGGGGATCATAATCCAAAGTTCAATCGCGAGTCGAATGAAATCGCGTCAAAATATAACGACGAAAGATGCCAAGGCTGAACGATCGCGATAGTGCTGACCTTCTAATCATATCGCCAATCCTCTCGTTTGTTCAGAGCGTCGACCAGGAATTAACTGGTCTCGATCAAATAAATGAATTAAATAAAAAAAGAGAAAATAATGAGTGCTTTGCAATTTACAAAGTACGTAAAATACTTTGCTTCAATGGCATTCAGGGATGCAGAGCGTATAACAGCCGATGCGAGATAAATTCGACACATTCGTAACGCAATAAAGTAAATAAATGCATTTCTTCAAAATCAGATTTACGACTAATGTAGATTCCGGCTTGAAATCGGCTGCGCGGAATTAATTTTGCGACGGCGGGATACAAGCGTCGCGCATATACACAGCGAAATTCGACAAGTCGGCGCGGAACAATTACACGATGGCGGGGAAATTAGCGATCGCGGACGATTATTATCTCGCGCGGCGGCATGGAGGGTGATTCATAACCCGCGCCTCGTATTTTCGCGGATGGCACACGTCGAATTTGGTCAGGATGGGAAACACGGGCGGCATCGACACCGCACGCTCGCTCAACCGGCCCTCTTCCTCCGCCACCCCCCTTCGTTGACAGGATTATATTCGTACGTACCCACCGTGTTCCTCGGTGTACCTCGGTGTCCCGCAATACGCGTCGCGCGATCATATTCCCGTCAGCTAATAAATTTAGCGCGGCGC